ACCTTTACATTTCCAACCCTCGCAATCAGTCCTGATAACAATTATTCACTATTGTATCACAAGAGACCCATCTGCATTTCATTTCATCAGCCCCGCCTAGACAGATTGGATACTACTCACTGGAGATTCTACCCTCCTCCAAGCCCTCTGGATCTAGGTTCCTTCTTGAAAGCTTGTAAACCTCTTGTCTTTGTATCCCTTGCCCACCCCCACCCCCCATTTTGGGTAGCCAATGTCCAAGTTGCCCATCCCTGTCTGCTCTGTGTGTGGAGGGGGTAGGAATGATGTTTGCTGTAAGGATTTGTTCCCTCTTTGGAGCAACTGCATCCATAGGTGTAGGTCAAGTTCATCAAATTTTATCAGACTACTCTTTTTTTCCAATTCTTTCTTCTGGTTGAGCTCTGATCATCCAGTCATTGAAGTGGATATTATCTGGAAGTGTGGGTGTTCTTGTGCAGATGCCCTCTCTTCTCGTCAGCTGGATGCTTCACTCTCCACTCCAGTCCTCCATGGCTATGTCACTGACTCTGAGCCCAAGATTCCCAGGTCTTGCCACACTGCTAGCCAACCAGGTCTTCACCCGGGTTCACAGAAGTCCATTGAACATTGCAGGGCTCAGCTCACAGCTTCATTGCTGTTTTTCCCTCAGTTCCCCCTATTGGTGACTAGCGTGGTCACCAATCATAGCGTGTATTCCCACTGATTCATAGTCTTGGAAGGGGGCCTGCACCGACGGGACCGACCACTTGCCTTGATGTTTCCTGGGCAAGCAACCTGCTTGTTCTTGTAGTAACAGTCAGTCTGCCTCTATTGTTTTGTATTTTTCCTGTCGGTCTTTCTTTCAAGAAGTATCTTCTGTTCTTCTAGCCACTCTAGGCTGGTCTGTTCGTCCTTTCAAGTGGAAATTTCCCATCTCTGGAGATCTGGATTTGGTTCAGTCTTCTACCTATAGTCTTATGTATTGCAGAGGCTCCGCAGGAAGCTTACTTCACTGGGCACATTGGCCCCATTTTAGGTATTCCAATCAGTTATAGGCAGAAGACGGATTTACAAGCTTTCTATGGTGATGGTTCTGGCTATTCCTTTCTCTCCCCCTCCAGTGTCACATCATAAATATTCATTGTTTTTGGAATGAATAAAGCAATGAATGCTTCACTTGTCAAATCGCATCATCTTTATTGTAGTAATCCAACTTTTCATTGACATCTAGAACTATTATATTAGTGCAGATAAAAAACATGTTGTTGCACAAAGTGCAATGGTATCTTGGCTGCTTACACTTTCACATTTCCTTCCCACTCACCTTATGTATTGCCAGACATAAAGCGATCTGCAGGATCGTTGTGATAAAAATTGTCAAGACCTCCTTATACCATGTAGAATTAAATACATACTCTTCAGTATAACTTGAGTGTTTACAGTTTCCCATACTTAAAAATACTACACATAAATAGACATTTATAAGTGTGTTTTCATAGATCTTTGCATGTTTATTATATCGGGTGCATGTATTAGGAGAATCAGTTGTCTTTTGGCCTCTTGCATTTGCACACATCTTGCTTGGTGTCCAGTGCTGTAAGGACCTCATGGTTCTTTTACCCAGGTCTTTTCTCAGGATTGTTTATATAGCTGAAGAGAAGAGGAGACATCTACAAAGAGCAGGTTTTTATACTCTTGCTATAAAAACAATGGACTTCCCAAGCTCAGTGTTCTTCAGCTGTGACACAAGCCTACTACATGTGCAGCATTCATCTGGGCCATGTTGCATTGCCCCCATGGAACCTGGGACTAGAAGAAGTCATGAAAAGACTCTGATGATCTTGTTGCTTGCTCTGTCATGGATAATAAAGTGTTTTTTTTGAATGCAGAGACTCATGTCTTCTTCTAGCCATATACAGGACAATAATTTGCTAACATATTAGCTTTTAAGTATCATTGTTGGTAAGTGTTGTCGAGCTGACTCATAGTGACCCTACATATGTCCTGACTCATAGTGACCCTACATAGGGTTTCTGAGGAGTGATCAGTAGGTTTGAACCACTGACTTTGTGGTACAGTAAAATCCCAGATCTGACGTTTTTCCATGCCAGTAAATGTTCTTTAAAAATGCAAATTTTAAAAATCCATCATATGGATGTATGGTTATTTGTAACCATTATTCTACTGCTAGATATTTAAATTATTCCACATTAGTTTGCTATTAAAAGTGACTTTGTAATTAATATATTTTTAAATATTTGCCTCCTTTAATGACCATTGCCTTAGGATTTACTTCTATAAGATAAAGGCCCAGGAGAGGGAAGGCTTTATTCTTTGTTTTGTTTTCGGTGGTGATTCTTTTAAATTCAAAATACAGAATTAAAAGTACATACATACATATATATAATATTAACAAATCTCTTTTTCTTTAGGAGATTCTATTGGAGGAAGCACAACTGACATTACTCAAACCAACTTGAAATCAGATATTACTACTGCTTCTGAAGATTCGGACATTAGATCAAATATATCCCTGCATAATGAGGCCTTGCCTCAGTCAGCTGTAAGATCCCCTCAACCCAAGACAACTGGTCACCATACAAATATTTTATACGAACAGACTTTACCAGATAGTCATCTAAATGAACAGACTCTGGAAGTTTCATCTTTACCTGCATTGGCCAACCAAAAGAAGAGGACACCAACAGTACTCTCTAGTTCCCACTCATACATGGAGAAGCCTAGTACTTTGTATCAACAAGAGTTACTTGACAGCCATCTAACTGAAGAAGCTCTTAAAGTTTTAGCTGCTACTGAACTAGCTGACCAGAGTACTGAGATCTCAAAAGTAACCTCTAGTTCCTACTCACAGATAGAGAAGCCCCGTATATTCTATAAACAGGTGTTGCCAGATAGTGATCTATCTGAAGAAGCTCTGATACTTTTAGCTGCTCCGGAACCAGATGCCCAGAAGACTGGGACACATACAGTGCCTTCTAGTTCCTACTCACAGAAAGAGAAGCCTGGAACTTACTTCCATTCGTTGTCAGGTAGTTATTTTACTGAAGAGGCGCTGAAAAGCTCAGCTGTTCTTGGACCAACGGACCAGAAGATTGGGATACCAACAGTACTCTCTAGTTATTACATACAAAAAGAGAAGCCCAATACTTTTTACAAACAAGTGTTGAAACCAGATAGTCATCTAACTGAAGAGACTGTGATAAAAAGTTCACCTGAACCAGCTGACCAGACGACTGGGATTCCAACAGTCCCTCCTAATTACTACTCACCTAGAGAAAGACCTGGTAGTTTCTACCAACAGACATTATCAGATAGTCATTTAACTCAAGAAACTCTAAAAAATTCAGCTGTTCCTGAACAACCTAACCAAAACACTAGGACACCAACAGTAACCCCTAGCTCGCACACACATAGAGAGAAGCCTGGTACTTTGTATCCACAGGTATTACCAGATAGTCATCTAACTGAACAGACTCTGAGAAGTTCACCTGTTTCTGGTGTAACAGCTGACCAGGACCTTGGGATTCAAACAGTGTCATCTAATTCCTATCCTCAGAGAGGGAAGCCTGGTGTTATCTACCAACAGACATTGCCAGATACTTACGTGAATGAACAGACTCTGAAAGGCTCAGCTGTTCCTGGAAGACCTGATCAGAAGACTGGGATATCAACAGTGCCCCCCAGTTCCCACTCACATAGAGAGAAACCTGTTAGTATTTTCTATCAACAGGCTCAGCCAGATAGTCATCATACTGAACAGGCTCTGAGAAGTTCATCTGTTCTTGGTGTACCAACTAACCAGAAGCCTGGGATGCCAACAGTGACCACTAGTTCCTACCCACAGAGAGAGAAGCCTGGTGTTTTCTACCCACAGGTGTTACCAGATAGTCATGTAACCGATGAGGATCTGGAAGGTTCAGCTGTTCTTGGACAACCTGACCAGAAGACTGGGATATCAACAGTATCTTTTACTTCCCACTCACATAGAGAGAAGTCTGATGTTTTCTTTCCACAGGTGTTACCAGATAGTCCTCAAACTGAACAAGCTCTGAGAAGTTCACCTGTTTCTGGTGTACCAGCTGACCAGAAACCTAGAATACCAACAGTGTCCACTAGTTCCCACCCACTGAGAGAGAAGCCTGGTGTTTTCTACCCACAGGTGTTACCAGATAGTCATGTAACCGAAGAGGATCTGGAAGGTTCAGCTGTTCTTGGACAACCTGACCAGAAGACTGGGACACCAACAGTGCCCTCTGGTTCCCACTCACATACGTTCCACCAACAAGTGTTACCAAATAGTCCTCATACTGAACAGGCTCTGAGAAGTTCATCTGTTCCTGGTTTACCAGCTGACCAGAAGAGTGGGATACCAACAGTGTCCACTAGTTCCCACCCACTGAGAGAGAAGCCTGGTGTTTTCTACCCACAGGTGTTACCAGATAGTCATGTAACCGAAGAGGATCTGGAAGGTTCAGCTGTTCTTGGACAACCTGACCAGAAGACTGGGAAATCAACAGTACCCTCCAGTTCCCATTCGCATAAAGAGAAGCCTGGTCCTTTCTATCAACAGATATTACATGATAGTCATCATACTGAACAGGCTCTGAGAAGTTCACCTGTTCCTGGTGTACCAGCTAACCAGAAGACTGGGATACCAACAGTGTCTACTAGTTCCTACCCACAGAGAGAGAAGCCTGATAGTTTCTATGAACAGACATTGCCAGATAGTTACCAAAGTGAACAGGCTCTGAAAGGCTCAGTTACTCCTGGACAACCTGACCAGAAGACTGGAGCAGCAACAGTGCCCTCCAGTTCCCATTCACATAGCGAGAAACCTGGTACTTTCTATCAAACTGAAGAGGCTCTGAGAAGTTCACCTGTTCCTGACCAGAAGCTTGGAATACCATCAGTGTCCATTAGTTCCTATCCACAGAGAGAGGAAACTGGTGTTTTCTACCAACGGACATTATCAGATGGTCATCTAACTGAAGAGGCACTGAAAGGTTTAGCTGTTCCTGGATACTCTGATCATGAGACTGAGATTCCAACAATAGTACCTCCTAGTTCCCACTATACTTTGTACCAACAGGCGTTACCAGATAGTCATCAAACTGAACAGAGTCTGAGAAGTTCGTCTATTCTAGCTGGCCAGAAGCCTGGGTTAACTATCGCGCCTACTAGTTCCTACCCACTGAGAGAGAAGCCTGGTGATTTCTATCCACAGGCATTACCAGATAGTCACCAGACTGAACAGGTGCTGAAAAGGTCACCTGTTCCTGATGTACCAGCTGACCAGAAGCCTGGCATAACAACAGTGTCCTCTAGTTCTTTCCTACAGAGAGGGAAGCCTGGTGTTTTCTTCCAAAAGACATTTC